TGGCTCCCCACGCTCTGGGTCCCATGAGCCTCCAGTCAAATTTGTTAGTTAAGGACTCAGACCCTCGGGCGGGACGGAGGCTGGGTCCCCATTCTGCCACCGGGGACTGGGAGACCTGGCCTCACCGCTCTGCGACGCCATTTCTGCCTCTGTAAAAGAGGGGTCTAAGAAGCCAGGCGTGAGGCACAACTGCAATCCCAGCACCTCTGGAGGCTGAGGCAGGAGGATCACAAAGAGCAAGACCTGTCTCAAAATTTAAAATTTAAAAAAGAAGAAGAAGAAAGGCGGGGGGTGTAACTCAGTGGTAGAGCACCCCCGGGTTCAATCCCCGGTACCATGGAAAAAGAGGGGGTCCCGCCCCTCAGAGCCGCGAGAGAAGCCTCGCGTGGCCTCTCCTGGGAGGCTGGAGGCAGGATGCGCCGGCACGTCCTGAAGACAAATTGCAAAGGGGGTGCACGTGTCCTTTCACACGTGAGAAGCTCAGTGGGCGCAACGGGGCTGCTGCTGACCACCACCCTGCACCTGCCTGGCCCTGGCCCTGCACCTGGCCGTGTTGGGGACTCGGGGCTCTAGAAGGCCTGCAACTGCAACCTGACTCCTGTCACCTGGCTCAAGGTGGGACTGGCAAGAGGTCCTCCAGGACAGGAGAGGGTAGGACAGCCACCTGCTGGAGCCAGGGACAAGGACATATGGCAGATGCTCTGTGGGACAGAGCCCGGGCAGCAAAAGGAACCAAGAGCATTCCCTTGGCCTCTCTGGACCTCAGGCCCCCGGCTGGCAGAGTCCTTCTCAGGGAGATCTCTTTCGCCCCAGAGAGGCATGGAGGAGAGGAGGCTCCGGCCTCACATGGAGGATCCGTAGGTCTGGGGAGCCTGGAGGGCACAGAGCCGGGCAGTTCCCTGGAGGAACTCAGGCTGGTGGCCGCCTCCTCCAGCAGCCTGCCCGGATTGGCCCAGGCCGGCTCCGGGCTCCGGGCTTTGCTGAGTCACTGGCAGTCAGCACCCCTCCTGCCCTTTCTCCCTGTCTGGCTTAGGACCAGAGGCAGCTGCTGTCACCACAGGACATTGGGGACTGGGAGGAATCACAAAAATCCTGCTGCACTCTCCAGGAAGATGTCCCCCGGGCACGCTCACTCGGGAATGAAAAAGAAGGTCTACAGAGTTGCCTGAGCCTGTTCTCAGAAAGGTGGCCCTGGTGGTGGCCACCGCACCCCAGCTCCCAGGCCAGCTCCGGGCCTCTCAGCATCCTGTCTCCTCCACCCACGTTGCTCCAGGGCCTCCCTTCCGTCCCCCGCGGGCTCCTTGGCACACAGTGTTACAACGTGGCCCCAAACCCCAGAGAAAACCCCGGGTCTTTGAAGCAGAGACAAAGATTTCTTCTGGCCAGGGCCGGGAGCCAGAAGCAGGCCCGGGGAGGGGCCACCTGAAAACAGAAAAGCCACAAGAAGGGGGGCGGGGGAGGCAGGTACAGTCTCGAGACCCATTCCATAAAGTGCCACCAAGTTCTCAGAACAGGCGCCTCCCGTAGCCCACTCAGGAAGGAGGCTGGCACGGCCCCGTGGTTTAAAGCCTGTGGTCAGGGTGCAGGCGGTCAGGGGTCAGCTTCCACGGGAGTGGGCTCCGGCAGAGAGGGGCCAGTGGTGCGCAGGGCGGGACGTCCGCGCAGAATGGGACCAACACGATTTCACTTTCAAATCAGCCATCGCCACACGACAGACAAGAATTTCAGCTGGGGCCAGTCAGAAGTAGAGGCTCACTCCAGGGAGGATGGGGCATCTGCAGTGAGCTGGTTGGGGGTTCCTGGCTCTTCTTTTAAAGGAAACCTGGAGAGAAGTGGGCATGGGAAGGTGGCAGGACCCCGAGATGGGTCCCGGTGGTCTGGTCAGTCTTGGGAGCCTCCATTACCCATCACGGGTAGCCAGCACCTCGCCAGGGATTCTCGCCTGCTCACGGGGATAAGCCTCCTGAGAAATGAAAGTCTAGAATGACCAGTGAAGAGCAAAAGACAGTGAGTCAGAAAGAGTTTTAAAGAAGGAGCCCTGATGGGTCCAGTCCACAGGAGCCGGAGCTGGACCACTGGCTCCCGGGGCCACTTACGGGGGCACATCAAAGGCAGGGGAAGGCTTCTCGGGCAGAGTCTTGCCTCCTGACATCTTGCAGTCAGCAGGTTGGTTGGCGTCTGGGCAGGTCACACCCATCTCAGAGGGGCTGTGCGTCTGGGTGGTTGTAGCAGGTCACCCCATCTCGGGTGCTGTGGGGACCAGCAGAGCCGAATGGGGCTCACGATGTGTGTGGGCGGTCAACCAGAGGAAATGTCCGCTGCAGGTTTCCTGACTCCAGATTAACCTGTCACTAGGCTGCGGCGACGCGCAATATGGTCCACACACAGTCCCCGGGTGGCTCTCGACCATCGCCCGACCCGTACACAGTGCTGGGAAGGCCCCTACACTAGAGAGTCCTCAAGACTGTCGTCTCTCTTTGCTTAATCTGCTGACTAGGGGTCACTGACCGTGTACAGGTAAATTTACAGATTTCCCAGGGATTTGGGAGTATCAGGCCTGGAGGAGAAGCAGGCTTAGGAGCAACAGACCTAGGAAAGTATGAAACTTTGGAATTATTATTATTATTTGTACAGGGGATTGAACCCAGGAGTGCTTAACCCCTGAACCATATTTATATGGACAGGGTCTTGCTAAGTTGCTTAGGGCCTTGCTAAGTTGCTGAAGCTGGCTTTGAACTCGCGATCCTCCTGCCTCAGCCTCCCAAGCTGCTGGGATTACAAGTGAGCGCCACAAGCAAGCCCTGGAGAGGCTCTGTCCACCTGCACACTTGCTCCAGAGTCTGCAGCTGTGGCCGGGAGGCAGCGGCCCAGCCAGGAACCACCTCCTCGCAGTCTGCCTTGGGACAGCTCTTACCAGTGACGGGAACCTGACCAGCGTGCACCACTTCCGGGCTAGGACGGTCCAAGTGCAGGTGACTGGCCGTCCTCCCTTCTCCATGGCTGGATACACATGAGCACCACAGACGGGAAGAGCCTGTCCCGGAAACCTCACGGAAGAAAGCTGCCCACTGAGCAGCAATACTCATTAGGGACTTTACACCATCAAGAGCTAAACTTCTAGCTCAGTTGGTAGAGGGCTGCACAAGACCCTGGGTTCACTTCCAAGCACCAAAAAAAAAAAAAAAACCAAAAAAAAAACCCACTAAGCGTCTAGCTGCTCACAGTGGAGCACAGTGAGCTCAGCTCAGGACACTGAGGCAGGAGGACCTCAAGTTTGAGGCCAGCACTGGCCACTTAGCATGATCCTGTCTCAAAATTAAAAAAAGGACTGGGGGGGTGGGCTGGGGTTGTGGCTCAGTGGTGGAGCGCTTGCCTACTATGCATGAGGCACTGGGTTCGATCCTCAGCACCACATAAATGTAAAATAAAGACATTGTGTCCACCTAAAACTTAAGAATAATTTTTTTAAAAAAATGACTGGGATATAATTCAATGGTAGAGTGTCCCTGGATTCGATCCACAAAAATAACTGATTAATAAAATAAATAAACCTCTATGGTATCTGAGCCGTTATGTATTTGGGGGTTGCTTGTTATAGCAGCTAGTATCAGTCTGCTCCATTCAAACCACTTCCCGTTTCCCAGCTTCTCCTTATACAAAGTTTCTTAATGTGTTTCTGCATTCACTGATCCTGCTTCCTCTCCTCCAGTCCTCAAGGAACCCAGGCCGGTGGGGATTTCACTCCCAGTCCACAGCAAAGCCTCAAGCCATGGTCACTGGAGAAGTCCACGCTGCCGCTCCCGGGCGGGTCCTCGTCTCCCCCACCCCGAGACTTAACCTTGTGGATGACCCGGTCAAACGCTCTCCATCCAGCTCCAAGCTCCTGGAACCCGGCTGTCCTGGTTTTCCACACCACACTGGTTTTGCCTTCTACACACACACACACACACACACACACACACACACACACCACACACACCTCTCTCTCTCTCTCTCTCTCTCTCTCTCTCTCACTGGCCCCCCCTCTCTTATTGACCTCTCAAAACCAGAGACTGGAAGGCTCAGCCTCAAACCACCCCTCCTGGCGATGAAAGGTCACTCCCAGAGTGGACTCACCCAGCCCTGTGACCTGAAACGCCTTTCATTCCCTAGTAATTCCCAGCCACTCCGTGACACCCCGCCCGCAGGGCTCACGCCATGCCAAGCTCACGGCTTCCCAGCCCAGCATTTCCTTCCCGTGGCTAGTGCAGACCTGAGCCCCTTACCAATACTGCTGGCCTGCCTGGCCCCACAGCTCCTGGGGGCCCTACCCCACCCTGCCCCTTCCTTCATGGAGCCAGGGGTCTTTTGATACATACGTCAGAGCTGTAGGAGCTGTGGGTTCTGATCCTGCAGCTGGTCGCCCCCAACTCCTCCCACTCTCTCTGCTCACTCCACCCTGACCACACTGACCCCCTTACTACTCCTTGAGTGTCCAAGAACATTCCTACCCCAGGGCCTTTGCCCAGGCTCACCCGCTGCCTTGAGTGTTCTCCAGTTGTGTGTCTTGTCTCTCACCTACTCAGGTCTCTTCCAATATCACCCCCTCAAAGGGAGAGAGGTCTCCCCTGATGGCACTGCTTAAAGTAGCCCCCTAAACTCTTTTTTTAAAAAATATTTTTAGTTGTGGATGGACACAATGCCTTCATTTTGTTTATTTAGTTTTATGTGGTGCTGGGGATGGAAACCAGAGTCTCACTCATGCTGGGCAAGCGCTCTACCACTGAGCCCCAGCCCCAGCCTGCCCCCTTCACTCTTTACCCTTTATGTGCCTAGTAGCTCTCCATGGCATACTCTCTACTTTTCGTTTTTTGTTGGCCAGCTTCCCCTCCCCCACAGGGATGAGAGGAAGGCAGGGAATGACCTCCTGGGTTCCCTGCTGTATCCCCAGGGCTTCCTGCAGAAGCGGGCACTTCGTCAACATGCTGTGAAATCTACTCTGTGAATGGGTCTCCATAGCAACCAGAAAAGCACATTCCGAATCCTCTTGGAGAGTGAGGAAATGAGTGTGCCCATGAAACAAGAAGTGGAAATTAGGAAACAAGAACAGGCAGAACCAAGATAAGGGCAGAGTCAGAATAGGAAGAACCAAATAGGGATTCTGAAATGAAAATTACAAATTCTGAAAATAAAATGACCATGATTGGAGAAATAAAAATCTTAATAGGAGGTTTAAAAAGCAAAATGGATTCAACTAAAGAGCAAGTTGGGAAGCTGGATCCTGAAACTGAGTAGCCCCCACAAGGAGGATATTGGTTCCAATGGATCCTGGATTACATTGGGATTATGTAACTCAAGCATTTGCTCATTAATCAATTTGCTCATTTAATTCATGCTTCAGTGCTGACTATGTGCCAAGTGATGGGATGAGCAGTGAACAAAATAGCCATTATCTGCACCTTCAAGGAGCTTCCATTCCAATGGTAGGAAGCTAAACAGAAACAAATAAATGAGTAACGTGTACTGTGACCCATGGTGGTAAGTATAACGGAGATAAAAGATGTAAGAAATGGAACTGGGGGTGCCAAGGATGGGGGCAGACGAAGTTTAGTCGGGGAGTTCAGAGAAGTCCATGCTGAGAACAAGCCTTCCTAACACAGACTTGAAGGAATCCTCGGGATTCCATGGGAATCTCTGGGAGAAGAGGGGCCCCGGCAAGAGGAACAGCAGGTGCAAAGGCCCTGAGGCAAACATGCATGTGGCACAAAGTACAGCAGGGAGGTCGTTGGAGCTGATGTGTGGAGAGCAAGGACCAGAGATGAGCTTGGAGAGGCAATGGCTGGCCCAACGGTGTCACTGTAAAGATTGGCTTTTACTCTGAGAGAGGTGAGGAGGTATGGCCACATTTTGAGCACAACTGTGATGTGGCCTGACTGGAGTGAACCAGAACCCCTGTTCTTCAGGTGGAGAATATTCTATAAAGGCTCAGAGTGGAAGCAAGGAGTCTATGGGGAGGCCACTGCACTGACCCAGGAGCTTCACCTGATAGGCCAAGATGGTCGCAGTGGAGGGGCTGTGCATGTCCTGGACGCTTTTTCTTTTGTACCTGGGGATTGAACCCAGGGGCGCTTGACCTCTGAGCCACACCCAGCCCTTTTGAGACAGGGTCTTGCTAGGTTGCCTTCCTCCTGCCTCAGCCTCCCAAGCTGCTGGGATCCCAGGCGAGCGTCACTGCACCTGGCCCCCGGACAAGTTTTGAAGGTGAACTGGCAGGAGTCCCCCGGTGACCGCCTGGTGTCGTCCTGAGCAGCTGGGAGGATGGAGCCTCTAAAAGCTGAGACAGGGAAGCTGCCAGGGAGGCACATTCGGGGACCTCAGCCTCGGCCATGCAGAGGTGGCTGTGCACACTCTGAGCTCAGGGCAGCTGGAAAACTCGAGAAGCCCCACTGTGGCTCAGGAGAGGGGAGCGGCAGAGGGGGTGCAGGGATCCGTGATGGCAGCCCACGGGCTAGGAGGCGTGGGGACACGTGGTCCCCAAGCCCACGCCGCTGGAGGCTCCAAGAACAGGGGAATCCCGGGGCCACCCTGTGAGGCAGGCAGGGGCCCTGAGGGGTGGCACGAAGCCACGGGTGTGGAGCCCGGGGTTCCCTGAGGCAGAGGGAGGCCGGCCCTGCCGAGGCCCTGCCCTGCACCTCCCTCGGGCCGGGTTAAACTTTGTCTGGGATGATTGCTAAACGCTCTGCCATAAGCGGCCCCTGGTCACACTTTAATTCCAGCGTGGGTGGCTTCAGTCTCCAAGTCCCACTTTCCAAAGTCAGCTTTCTCCAGAGGCCCAGGGGCAGCAGAGGCTCCAAGGGACACGTGGGTGGCCTCAGGGTCACAGCATGTGGCTCCAAGGCTCGGTGGGAGCCACCCCAAGTGACAGCCAGTGAGCGGATGCCAAGGAGCCCCAGGCCCAGCTCTGCAAAGCCGGTGGCCCCTGACATGCTCCCGGCTGCCCGGCTGGGGACGCTGGAGGGGTCGCTGCTGTGGGAAGCGCAGACCTGTGGCTCGTGGCCCCGGGCCCTGGACCAGCTTCTGTGAAGCGGGCGCCTCCCTGGGCCCCCCAGCCGGCGCCATGGCATTTCCGGAACTCCTGGACCAAGTAGGTGGCATGGGCAGGTTCCAGATCCTCCAGCTGATGGCCCTGGTGGTCCCCATCGTCCTGCTCACCATGCAGAACATGGCCGAGAACTTCTCGGCCGCTGTGCCCAGCCACCGCTGCTGGGTGCCCCTCCTGGACAACGCCACCAGCCAGGCCGGCGTCGCAGGGGCCCTGAGTCCCGAGGCCCTCCTGGCTGTCTCCATCCCACGGGGCCCCGACCAGCAGCCACACCAGTGTCTCCGCTTCCGCCAGCCGCAGTGGCAGCTCCTGGACTCCAACGTCACGGCCACCAACTGGAGCGAGGCCACCACAGAGCCGTGTGTGGACGGCTGGGTCTATGACCGCGGCACCTTCACCTCCACCACCGTGACCAAGGTGAGGGCCACATCTGGCTCCTGGGGGGTCAGAGCCACAGATCAGCAGTTGGACTCAAAACAACGGTCCAGTCCTCCCCCCGGCCTCCCTGGCTCTGGGGTCAGCTCTCAGCCGGGCCTCTGCCGCACAGCCCTGCAGGGGACGGGGACCTCCCAATGTGTCTGCTGACACTTGGCTGCCAGTCACGGGGCGCTTAGTGACCATTTGCTGGGTTCCTCCAGGACAAAGCACACAGGGCAAGCCCAGGTGCCTTCTCATAAGGGACATGAGACAAATCTGGGCCAGTGGAGAGGGACAGCTGGTCCCAGCAAGCAGGAAGGGCGTTTCTGTGAACAAGAGGAGGAATGTGGCTCTGGGCAGGGCAGGGGCAATAGGGAGCCACTGAGGGCTTGGTGGGGTGGCAGTGCACTCCTCGGGAGACCGAGCCACACCTGCGGTGCCCTCGCAGAACCCGGGGGGGGGGGGCCCTGCTCCACGCCCCCAGAGGGGGCCCCCTCCGTAGGAGCCACCCACTAGCTCCTGGGCCCCCACCCTCCTGGGCTCACCCCTCCCCCGCTCTCCCGCCAGTGGGACCTGGTGTGTGACTCCCAGTTTCTGAAGCCCATGGCCCAGTCCATCTACCTGGCGGGGGTCCTGGTGGGAGCTGCGGTGTGTGGCCACGCCTCGGACAGGTGAGCCCCCTGGTCCCCGTGGGTCCCTTTTCCATGTCACCAGAGCACGTCTGGCCGCTCCTCGGGCTCTGGGGGCTGTAGAGTGTCATTGTGGCTCGTCACTCTGCGCGTGGCCACACCAGCCTTGGGTGCCGGCCTGGAGGGCCCCTGGTGACGGGCGGCCCTTCCCCGCGGAGCACGCCTTCCGGGGACCTCCAGGGCTCCCGACCCTCCCGAGGTCTGACCCAGGGCAGCTTCCCCCGCTCGGTGGGCACAGGGTGGGCTCCACAGGTCCAGATCCCGGTGACCCCGCCACACGCCCTGGATCCGCCACCCTGGTGTGTGTGCCGCAGGTTCGGGCGCAAGAGGGTGCTGACGTGGAACTACCTGCAGACAGCCGTGTCGGGGACGGTGGCTGCCTTCGCCCCCACCTTCCCCCTGTACTGCCTGTTCCGCTTCCTGGTGGCCTTCGCCGTGGCGGGCATCATGATGAACTCGGGCAGTCTCCGTAGGTCCCCCAACCTGGGGCCGTGCAGGGTAGGCTGTGGCGGGCCTCGGGCTGACCCACGCCGTCTCCTGCAGTGATGGAGTGGACATCGGCGCGGGCCCGCCCCTTGGTGATGACCTTGAACTCCGTGGGCTTCAGCTTTGGCCAGATGCTGATGGCCGCGGTGGCCTATGGTGTGCGTGACTGGTGGCTGCTGCAGCTGGCCATCTCCGTGCCCTTCATCCTCAGCTTTGTGTACTCATGGTGGGTGCCGCACCCTCTCCCCTCCTGGAAGAGACCCTGCCCGCTCTTGAGGTGCCCAGTGTAGGAGACTCTCCGTTCCCTGGGGACAGAAGGCTGTCAGTGCGGGAGGCCAGGGTCACTTGGGCTGGAGGGAGCCTGCACACCACAAGCCTGTGACGCAGACCCTCTCCAGCCCGGGGTTCGCTCGCCCAGGATCACGTCCCGAGGCCTCCAGGAGCCCCCTACTCACTGTCTGTGGCCTAGGTGTTGCTACTTGGCCACCCCAAAGCACGCAGTGGGTACGGCCCAGGCCTCCCCCTCGAGGTCTCAGCCAGCATCTCCAACCCCCCCAAGTGCTGCAGACCTCAAACCTGCCCCACCCCAGCTTCGGCCTCAGCTCCAGGCGCCTGTGACACCTCCCTGCCAACACCTGCTCTCCCCACGTTGGGGACAGTCCCCCACCTTATGCTGGAGTCCGAAGGCCACACACCTCTCCCTTCCTCCCTGTGCCCAAGTTGACAAGCCACTGGGGCTCGTCGACTGTAGTCTGTACCCCCAGCCCCCTTCTGTCCCCTGTTCCACAAATCCCAGACAAGCTCAGGACCCAGGTGGGTGTGAGGCAGGTAGCTCCCCATAGGACAGCTCACCTGGCTCAGGGACCTGGGCCTGCGGGGGGCTCCGTGGGGAGTGGTGGGCAGGCGGCCGGGGGGACAGCCAGACGTGAGGGGTCCAGAGGGGATGACGGGGGCTGGCCAGCGGGTGACATCACAGACCTGCTCCTGGCCCGCGCCGGGGGAGGAAGGTGGGACTTTGGCAGCAAGAAGGAGGAACGGGGGACTACGTGACACCAGGGGCGCTGGAGCGGGAGACCCACTCTGTGGACTTTGGGGCCTGGGTGCAGCCCAGCCTGGCTCCTGAAGGAGGTGGGGCAGGGCTGTGGGGCAGGAGGAGGTGGGAAGGAACCAGGGTCACCCACCGGCAGCAGCTGGTCCAGGGACAGAGGGTGGGCCCCAACCCCAGCCCAGGGAGGAGAGAGGCGGAGGGCCACCTGCTGAACCTTGCTGTCCCCTGCAGCACGGACCCCACAGCTGGAGCTCTGGTGCCAGGGAGGCCCCTTCCAGCTGAGAGACAGGGGACAGTGAGGAGGGGGAGGGGCAGGCAGTGACCCACACACCCCTGCACGCCAGGTGGCTGCCCGAATCCGCGAGATGGCTCCTCATCACGGGCAAGCTGGACTGGGGCCTGCGGGAGCTGCAGAAGGTGGCCGCCATCAACGGCAAGAGGGCAGCAGGGGACACACTGACCATGGAGGTGAGGACCTGGCCTCAGTCCCTCTCCCTGCCCCAGCCGGGAGGCCAAGCACGGGTCAGCTCCCCGTGAGGGTCCCCGCGGGAAGGGCTGCAGGTGTCCCAGCACCGACACCTCTGCCCCCCCCCCAGGTGGTGCTCTCAGCCTTGCAGGAGGAGGTGAGCAGGGGCCAGGACCCCGTCAGCCTGGGCGCCCTGTTCTGCACACCCGGGCTGCGCCTGCGGACCTGGGTCTCCCTGATGATCTGGTAGGTGCCTTTGACCCCACCCCACCAGGCCGGCCTCTGCTGCTGGCTGCCAGGGGAGCCCGGAGGCAGGGCTCGAGCCGGCCAGTGGCCAAGGGCCCGGCGGGCTCTCCTGCCTGGCCACTGGCCTGAGAGTGCCCCCAGGAGGTGCTGCAACCCGGTCACCTGCCCCTCTGTAGTCAGGCTCCCGACAGGACGCGCCCAGCTCACCTGCCCACCGCCCCCAGGTTCGCCTTTGCCTTCACCTTCTACGGCCTGGCCCTGAACCTGCAGGCCCTGGGCAGCAACATCTTCCTGCTCCAGCTGCTCATCGGGGCCGTGGACCTCCCGGCCAAGATGGGCACACTGCTGCTGCTGAGCCGCCTGGGCCGCCGCCCGCTGCAGGCCGGCTCCCTGGTGCTGTCGGGGCTCTGCGTCCTGGCCAACACCCTGGTGCCCCACGGTGAGCAGGCACAGCCCGGCTGACCCCCAGGGAGGCAAGACCACGGGGCAAGAGCCAGGAACAGGGGTCCTCGGTCCCTTCCTCCGAGGGCTAGGACCAGAGCGGCAGCCCCCTGAGGAGGCTGCTGGGGAGCGAGGGCCTGGCTGGGCCGGAGCAGCGGAAGCAGCAGCGGAGTCCAGGGGACAGAGATGGGACAAATGGGGACTCAGGGATGAGTTTCAGCAGGAAAGAACTAGGCCTGCCGCCCATCCTGCTAACCTGTCTGTGTCCACAGAGATGGGGGCCCTGCGCTCAGCCCTGGCCGTGCTGGGGCTGGGGGCGCTGGGGGCCAGCTTCACCTGCGTGAGCATCTTCCTCAGTGAACTCTTCCCCACGGTGCTCAGGTGAGGCCCCGGAGAGGGTGCCCTAGGCTGGGAGGGAAGTGGGGTGGCTGCCACGGACCCAGATGCTCCTGCCCTGTGACTCCCTTCCATGTGGTCTCGGGCTGTCCAGGCAAGTCCTGGCCCAGCCTGAGCCCCTGGGCCACGTGGGGCTGGGCTGGGGCAGAAGGTCAAAGCTGCCTGCGGATATGGCGGCCGCTCACAGGAGCATCTGCGCTGCAGGATGACAGCGGTGGGCCTGGGCCAGATGGCCGCCCGTGGGGGAGCCATCCTGGGACCCCTGGTCCTGCTGCTGGGCGTCTATGGCCCCTCACTGCCCCTGCTGGTTCACGGGACCGTGCCATTGTTGAGTGGCCTGGCTGCACTCCTGCTGCCCGAAACCCAGAACTTGCCGCTGCCCGACACCATCCACGATATACAGAACCAGTGAGTGGCCCAGCCCCGGGACGCCCTCCCTTTCTTCTTTCCCTTCTTCCAGAGAACCCCAGAACGGGGGTCACTCACCCTCGTCACTGAACAGAGAAGTAGAGACCCGGAGAGATAGAGGGTTGGCCCAGAGTCACACGGCACAGCTTGGGGAGAGTGCAGGCAGCCAGGGCTGGGTCTGCCCCCGACTGTAAGGCTTTAGCCTCTGCCCTGCATTTCACCCAGGAGGTGTAAATGGCCCAGCTGTCCCCAGGCCACCCCAAGAGAGGCCAGGGAGAAGGGGGGTGTGGCCTTGTCAGGGGGATATCAGAGGTGTGCTGAGGTCCTCGCAAGTCCTGGACTCGGTGGTCAAAGCCCTCTGATGGCTGCCTCCCGCCCCCAGTGAGGTGACACGCCCCTCCACCTCCTTCCCCAACAGGGCAGTAAAGAAAGCAAGACACGGCCCTCCGAGGTGTGTGGTCCTCAAGGCCACCCAGCTCTAGCTCCTGGGACGCCGGCAATGGACCATCAGAGGAGGCTTCTCGTGTCCCCCGGAGGTGGCAGAAGAGAGCAGAGGACGGTCTCCCTCCCCGTCAGGAGCCCCTCCCACACAGAAGGGGCAAAGGGCAGCTGGGCAGGCAGGAGGCCTCCACCTCTCCTACCACCTGACCTCCCGCTGGCTGCACAGGCGAGAGGCCAGGGCCAGGGGTCAAAGGTGACCATCATCTCCCCTGATGCGGGGCAAGCCATGGAGTCCGAGTTCCTCGGCTTCACCCTGATGCCCTGGGCAGCCTGGCCTGGCCCACCCAGCCCCTCCCCGTGCCTCGCCACACTCCAGCCACAGGCCAGGCTTTGTGCTCTGCTGCAGTCCCCTCCCCACCTTCACACCTGAGGTCCTCTTGGCCTCCCAGGCCCAGGACAGGGGCACAGCACTAGCCAACAGCGCTAGTGACACCCTGGCCCAGTGTCACATCCACACACCCAGCTCCTCCCTCCAACCAACAGATGAGCCCAGGTGCTCCCACCCAGAGCTGGTCAGAGGGACAGTGGCGTGAGGGATTGAATAAAGAGAGAAAAAAGGAACAAATGAACGGCTGCCCTCCTGACTCCTGGGATGAGCCCCCAGGGTCTAGCTGCCTGGGGGCGGGGCCAGGAGAGGCCTGGGGAGGGGGCAGGAGAGGCCTGGGGGCTCCTCCCGGTCTGCGGGGCCCAGGCACTGCCGTGTCCAGCCCTCGCCATGGGCCGTGCTGGGCCTCTCGGCTCCATCTCCTTTCATCATCTTCTGAACTCCACGAGGAAAAGCTGCCCCATTTTACAGATGGAATAACTGAGGCAGGTAGGAATCGGTTGCCCATGCCATACGGACAGGAGGAGGCAGAAGCAGGACTCGGCCCCGGTCTGTAGGTCTCCAAGCCCAACTGTGGCGCTAGTGGCCCTGCCTCACTATCTGGGCCTGCAGAGACACTTCTCGAGGGCAGCAGCAGGGCCTGGTCATCCCTCCCAGGATCACCTGGACCCTGCAGGGTCCTCTGGCTGCAGGTGTGTGGCTGCAGGCAGAGGTCATGCGCTGCCCAGCATGATCCCCACCAGACAGGACCCCCAGCTACACCACCAGGGGACGTGCTGAGTCAGTCTCTGAGTCCACCTGTGCCTGTGTGACCAGTCCTAACATCTGTGTGCACACGCACGTACACACACACACACCTCTATGCACACACACACATGTGCACACACAGAGAGGTCAATGGGAAAACGAAGCAGCCTCTGGCCGCCGGGAGATGGAATCCGGCCTGGCCTGGTCTTGACAGTGTGACCCCTGGGCATCTGAGGCTCATGCCCTTTGGCCATCCTCCCTTGACTACCCCACAGTGAAGATCCCCAGGGCAAAAGCGCAGAAGTAGGGGTCCCTCCACACACTGGGGGGCCGGCCTGGCTTCATCTCTTGTCCGCCCGCTGAGAGCCAGCGCCTTTCTTAGGCTTGCTCAGAATTCTTGGGGCCCCAGGGGGCCCATACATTTCTGGGAGGCAGAACCCAGTGAGGAGGTGGCTCCCCCTCTCCCCAGTATGTCCCTCCTGCTCACCCCTCAGGTCAGAGCTGTCCCTCCATCCACAGAGTGGCCACACTCCTGACCTTTCCAGGCCCCGGGGTCCTCCCTTTACTAACTCCACAGGACTGTAGCGGGAGACCCGGGGCCCTGCCACTCTGGGGAGCCAGCAGCAGCACTGGCCAATGGGTGTCCTGCCCAGGAGGAGGCCTACACCCCCTGGGGGCTGTCCACCCAACGGCAGGCCTCCACTTGGGACATACCCTCTTTTTAAAGCTCACCCTGGGGGCTCCTGACCTCCAAACCCACTGGGGCACCCCACAGAGCAAGGGAACTGAATATGGGAACGGGGCCCCGATCACCCCAGCGTCTCGTCTCATGGCAGCAGGGGCTTCACGCAGCAGGGACTGGGGAAAGGACTGAAGACCCCCTTTATCCATTCTCCTGGCCCCAACCAGACCTGTAGCTCCTCCAGGAAGCCTCAGGGAGGGCAGGGCTGGGCATGGGCTCCATACCCACCTCCAGGAAAGGGGCTTCCTCCCAAGCCACTGGCACTAGGGTCCTCCCTGGGGGCCTGGGTGGCTGGGTAGGTCTTCCAGGTCAAAGGGCATCAGCCAGACTTCCCCAGGAGCCTCTTCCGCAAGCCCCTGTCCTTGGTACCCACAAGGTGGCATCTCCTGATACATCCCTGCAAGGATCCCGCCGAGGAGCCAAGCTGTGTGGCTTTTCTGCCCCCAGATGCTATTTGGGCCTCTCCTGGGGTCCCTGCCGGGCAAGCCAGGTCCCAAGGAGCGCAGTTAAGGCTCAAGTGCCACAGTCACCATCTGATGCACAGGACAAAGACGCTGAGACTTGGGTGACTGTCCTATGAGTTGAAGGTCAAGTCCCATGAGTTGAATCTTTCCTCTTACAATGAAGCCCCTTAGTGACAGGAGCTCTTCAGCTTCTTATGCAGCAAGGGAAAGACAGTCCCCAGTCACATGGCAACCGGCAGGACCAGGGCCATCCTTTCCTGGACTACCCCCTACCTCATCAGGGCCATTCTAAAAATTCCTGGAATAGGAATATTCCTCCCCTTCTCATTACCAAGGAACTCTTGCCGGCCTGATTGGTTTATTTTTTACTAGCGCCAACAAGACAGCAGGACCTAAGAGAGCCTTGCCCCTGAGCAGGGCACAGCGGCACAGAGCCTCAGGAGTGAGCCATGGCCAGCAGAGGGACAGGATGTCCTGGCAGGACTGCCCACATCAGGGCCACCCCCAGACTCCCTGACCTCAGCATGTGAACTCAGGCTACAGGACTGTGGTGGTGGGGGGATGGGGGCTGCAGGCTCACCCCAAGGCGGCTGGTTCAGGAGGGAGAGGCAAGTCCTTGGAAATCCACACCTGGGGTGGCCGGGGACCCCTCCCTTGATAGAACTTTGGATGAGGACTCTCAAAAGGCCTGGGGGGGCATCAAGCTGGGGGAGGTCCCAAGGCAAGCTCCCTCCAGGATGAAGGGGGAGATGACAGCTGGGCTTCTGAAGCCAGTTGGAGCCATTAGGGCAGCATCTGCCACCCCCCCAGGGACATTCCCCTGCCCAGTGGGCTCCTGCGGGTACCCAGGTGCCCAGGCCTAAAGCTGGCCAGACTTTTGGACTGGAAATGCCTGGAGTCTGAGCTGGCCCCCAGCCAGGGCCGCCTGCTGCAGATCCGCAGTGATGGACGACATAGAGCCAAGAGCCCAGGAAGCAGAGCCAGGACAGGGACAAGATCTACCACGCAGAAGGCGCAGAAGGAGCCAACTGAGGGAGGAGCCGAGTGGCAGAAGCATGGCTGAGTCACATCTCGTGTGTCAAGTGGTGTGACCACCGCCACCCCCGCCCCCAGGATCCAGGCCCACTCACTCTCTCCTCCTGGACGCCACACATGTGGGTCCTAGTGGAATCCGAGTCTCCTGCATCTGTGTCTTGCCCCTGAGAGGCTTAACATAGACCCACCCCTGGCGTGGCCTTGCTTCTGGTCTCCATGAAGGATACTCTCCCTGACTGCAGGAGGCTCCGCTTCCACCTCCGGCCCAGGAGCTGCCCAGTAGGCCAGGTGGACTTGGAGGCAGGAGTCCCTAGTCCCAAGGGGCCCAGGGGAAGAAGCAGAGACCACAGGAGGCAGGGCTGGAGGTGGCTCAGTTACTGATTCACTGTGAGACCTGGGATCGGCCACGCTGCTCCCATAACCCAGGAGTGGTGCACCTCCCTCCAGGGTCTGCCAAGGGTCAGGCAGGTCTGTCCCATACCAGGTCAGGCCCCTTGCACAGTCCCAGGGGTCTTGGCAACATTAAGCCTCTGGGGATGTGTCTCTGGGGCCACATGATGCCTCTGGGCAGCAGGGGCTGGGAAGACTGAGAAGGCAGGTCTGGGAAACCTTGGACACAGACCAGCTGTCTTCACAAGCCCCAGGACTGAGTCCAGCCTGCAGTCCCACCCACAGGGGCTCAGGCACCAGACACAGACAAGTGGCACCAGGACCCCAAAGTTGTGCTCAGTTCAAAAGTGCGGGTGACTTACCAGCTCTCACGTGTCCCCACTTGGGCCCCTACCCCAGCCCAAAGCCAAGCCCAGGGTCCTAACAGCACCACCAGGAACAAACGGCACAGGACTGTTGGAATTTGGAAAGTTTTTGTTTTCTTTTTCCCACACATTTCCGGGGTTGGGGTGTTTCCAAGACTCAGACACATTTGTTAACAAAGAGAAAAAAACCGGGGGAGCAGGGAGCCCGTGGGCCGAGAGGTGACCCAGCAGTCCACAGATGCCACCTCGCTCCCTCCCTTCCCTGCGCCCCGCCCAGTGGGTGCCACAGGCTGCTGCCCTTGGTATCGAGTATTTGTCTTTAATAGATATCTGCTTTTGCCTTGCCCTCCCC